ATGCTGTGCTATAGTCTTCAAAAAAATACCTGAGATGCGTGCAAATGTAACGGTGTCCGAAGGACTGAGAGGTCGTTTATATGCAAAACACTTAACATTAAATGACAGAGAGGGGACGACACACAAGTGACTTTCGGAAAACTGATTTAAATTACGGTAAGATATATCAGGTGGGGCATGTTAATGTGACTACAAAGAAAGAAAAGTAAGCTAAATTCTCCAATCACCTCTCCTGCTGAAATGTTTGTGCTCAGATCAACCGGTTGCGATCTCTCGATCATCGCCGAAACATTGAAAACGCGGAGTTGTGCGGCAGTCGATACTCCACTCGAGTCATCAGTGGTAGGGGCTGCCTCCTTCCCCGTCTTCTCGGCCTTCTTCGTGGCATCTGAAAATCGACTGTCGGTAGATGCGGCACCGGCGACGACTGCGCCAGGCTTATTGCAAGCACCGGCTGCGCTACCTTCGCGTCCGTCCTCCACAGTCTTGCTCCCTTCCTCCTCTTCCCCTGTAGTGGTTGAGGCAGCCAAACAGTGCTGCTTTGCATTCCAGGAGGGCAGATAGTTGGGATCTTTGTACATGGACCGTCGGACAATACCATTGGGACAGTCGATACTGCTCCCAGCTGGTTGCCTCCGTATGCCCTGCACGCGCTCGCTCGTAATCACCTGGTCAAAGGCCTGTGCAAACACGAAAAGACGTTTTAATCCTCAAACAGTTGAAAGAAAAAGCGCAAATTAAAGGGAGGACAGCACTCACGTGGATAGCCTCGTTTGTCTGGGATGTCAAGGTGTAGGTGGCAAAGGGTCGAAGACCACCAGTTCGAACGGGACTCAACAGGCCCACAGCAAGAAGTGACAGTTCCACACAAGCCACAGGTGCCAGATGGAGAAACACGAGACGGCATAATTCCAGGGGTTGTGACTGGGAGGCTAGTCGACTAAGGGGACAAGGGTTGGGAAGCAGGTGATTAGCAAAAGTAAGGTCTTACAGCAAGGACGACAGGCAGCAGGATTTAAGGGTCACTTGTTAAAACAGCCCTTCCGCTACAATTTATAAAGGAAGGGGGATCCGATCTACTGTCGTTTGCATAGGGAGAAGTTAACACCCAAAGCCAAATGTATGGACACGATACAGCTGAAACTTAAACGAAATGAAATGTTTCATTTCCGTAGAGAGATAATCAAAGAACAAAGAAATATGCTCATATATGGAGTTGTGTCAGTAAATTCCGGTAATAATGCCGCTTTTGGGGTAAATATTTCAAGAGAGGGCTAATAAGCTAGAAATGGCCATTCTAGTTTCCTTTTTGGCTTTTTGTCGGCATGTTAGTATCCTCACGCCCATCCCAATCAACCAAATTATACTTGTAGTACTTACATTGCGTTTTCAAGTACTTAGGTGTCGTTAGTCGTTAGTTTGGTGGACGCGTTCACATCGGTTTTAGGTGAGCTATCGATATTTTGGTAACTTAGGCATACTTCATCAGTTATGCCACACACTCTCAATCATGCAGACCTTCTTCACCGTGCATCGCAAGCCAAAGGAGAGAAACTGGTGAGTTTAGTGAGTGATAACAAGTACAAGTAATAATTTTTCTGGGGTTAAACGTCGTTTTATAAAATTGCAAACTTACGGTTTCTTCTTGTAATGATCCGGAGCAAGACCCAGCACGATGCTGGTGTATACCCGCGCGACAGATCGCACAAACCGAGCGATACCGTGTCGGCAGGCAAGGAAGGAGCTTGTACTGTCTGATTCATCGGCCGAAGTTGAGGCTGGTGAGGTTTGCTGTTGCAGCCCAATGCGTAAGAGGCGAAGCAGATTCTGCTCTCGCCGCGCGACAGAAAGATGTTCCTCAAGACTGCCTGACAGAGTACTCAGTAGACGGTGAAGAAGTTCCGGGGGACACTTGCAGAGGAGCGTAAACACAAATTCGTCCAACTGCGACGCGCCAGACTGAATTGCCATGAAAGGCTGAAGCAAAAATGGGGAGGAAGAAAAATAAGTACAT